GGAGCTGTTCCATTCCACGCCTTTGGGTGAAACACTGGCCCCATGGGAGTCCGTGGTAAAACTCCTCCGGGGCCAAGACTTCACCCTCACTCTACTTCTGCAGGGTAGCCACTTAGCCAGCAACATTAGTTTAACATAAGCAGCCTATGTCCATTAGCTCAGTTCAGTATTGCTGGCTTTATTTGATTGCGGTTAAATTAGGGCTCAGGTTTGGGGGACATCCTTGGGCCTGCGGTGGGAGTCCCAGACTCGGAGACCGGAGGCCTGGTTTCTAGTCTCAGCTCTGCCTGTGCTTTGGGCATTAATTCCCTCATTTGTAAAAAGGGAATAAGAAAGCTTGCTCACCTTTGTAAAGCCCTCTGAGCTGTACAGAGGAACAGCTCTATGTAAGTGCAGAACATTGTCCTATATTTGTTTCTAGCTACTTTGTTTTATTATCGTCTTGTGCTTTATTCTTGCTTGAAAATTTTGAGGTGCCTACAGAGACATCGTGCGATTTACCTTATTGTAACATCACCCCCCTTTCTTTTCAAGGCATTCCTCTCTTCCACTGGCTTCTGACAGTACTTTAAGAATAGCAAATGAAAGGTCAGATCATTTTCCTTTGTTTTGGCCAAGAATTTGGTCTAAAGATCAAACACAACAAACCTACGGTGGCTCCTTGTTCACAAAATATGCACTATGAGTGTAGTAGAAGGTTCTCTTTTCTAGGAATACCGTATGAAAGATTTTATCAAATGTGCTTAATATTTGTTTAGCAAGTGGGTTTGTTTTCATCTTGATTAATATGAGCAGCATTTAATTCTAAATACACCATTTTGCACAGTTGTTTACAAAATGTTTGCAGGAGAAATTTCCAGGAAACCCTTGTAATAAAGTTCTAGCAGGAGACATTTCCAACTTATCCTATCATTTACTTTTCAGGTCACTTCAAAAGAGGGGTGGCTTGTTTTGTTCTGGGTTCACCCCTATGTTTGTCTTCACGTGGCCTCAGAAAATTTGTGAGACTGATTTGATTGCACTGATATTGGTAGCCAAAGATTGGCTGTTTATAACTGAGAAGGTATCATCAAGATTTCACAATATAAAAGAGTCTTTGATCTGGTGCATTTTCTAGCGAGACGGGTGGCTAGGAAAGGATGATGGCAAATTTCAGTCATTGCTACTATTACAAACCTATGTACACAGTGAAGTGTACTTTGGACAAGAGAAGGACCAACGAGTTGCCCAACAATTCTACCTAGACAGCTTCGTTTTGCCAGGTTAGAACACATCTATCCACCATAGATAAATGATAACAGAGCCTCCTGTTTCAGATGAAAACATTTGAGTAATTGATACATCTAGCTAAATCTGCCTCTTTTGGGTCAACCACACTCCTTTCAGGATATCGCCATAACAAATGTAGAAAGCCTGTGGTCCTGGTGGTATGCAGTTTCTGAAGGATGAATGAACTGGAAGCGTTAATAAACATCAATCAGGGATAAATCTGCATTGACAGGGAGACTGTCTAAGCAACCCACTGGGGTTGGGGGTGTTTTCTCAAAACAGCATATGTGACTCCAAGAATTCATAAAGAGCAGTGGTGTAATACAGAGATTGCTAGATGTCCCTTTGACACATTATTCCAAATTTGTTAGATTAGCCCTGGAAATCTCACGAAGCAACGTGTTATTACCACATGTTCTGGCTACACAAAATCGCATCCAAGGGTTGATACACACCGTATTTTTATTTTTGCTGTTCAAACGCTCACTGATTTCATGGTAAGATCTGTATTGTAATGGTTCCATTGACATCATGTCAGGTCAAAAGATCTGTTTTGAAGATAACAGAAGTATCGTATTGATGTACATTACTCCTGCGACCAAAATGCTGGGAAGTACTTGACACTGAATACATTTTAGATCAACAGCCTTCTCATTACATAACAATCTCCTCGCTTTGACGGGACTTGGTACAAACAAACCCGCACTGCAAGAGACCTTCTGATCTTCCATGGGATCTGCAGGTGCTCAGCTCCTCTAATGATTGGCCTATTGTTTCTAGCCCAGCGATGGGCACATCTGATAGGATAGAAGTGTCTCACAAGAAGACACACGCTGCAATGGGCCATACACATTTACCTGGGCATCATAACCGGGACCAGTCATGTTAGTGGCTCAATATGCCCAGCTAGGAGTAGAGTTTTATTTAGTTTGAGTACGATTATTAAACTAAATTAATTCAGCGTCCCCAGCCAGTATAAGTGAATTCACAAGTGAGAAGACATTCCTACTTGAAAAGGAGTACTTGTGGCACCTTAGAGACTAACCAATTTCTTTGAGCATAAGCTTTCCTGAGCTACAGCTCACTTCATCGGATGCATACTTTCCACAGTATGCATCCGATGAAGTGAGCTGTAGCTCAGGAAAGCTTATGCTCAAAGAAATTGGTTAGTCTCTAAGGTGCCACATCCGATGAAGTGAGCTGTAGCTCACGAAAGCTTATACTCAAATAAATTGGTTAGTCTCTAAGGTGCCACAAATACTCCTTTTCTTTTTGCAAATACAGACTAACACGGCTGTTACTCTGATTCCTACTTGAGGTTGCTACTCCTGCTTTAATTAACCAGACGTGGGTTGGGATTGTAAAACAGACGTTACGGAGGAGCACCCATTACTCTGGGGCGGGCAATAGAGGGAGGGCTGACTAGAAGGCACTCTCGTTCTGAGCCTTAACATTGGTCTAATCTGCATGTGTCTGTAAATAACCACTGCGGTGTCAACAGTTCAGCCGTGGAGCTGCTGTGTGCACCATTATAAAACATGATAAACCATTCTCCCCAGGTCACCGTCTCACTTGGCCATTACACCAGCTAACGTCAGCGGGCTGAAGACATGTTTAAATATATTATTTTTACGTGCAGTGAATAAGTATAAAAAATCCGGTTTAAAAAAACAAAACCCGTACCCCATGATGGTGCCTTTGTCAGCGAAGCAGGGCTGTGAGCTCATCTGATAGCATGGAAGGAAATCACTTTAATTTCCTTCCCTTTATTTTCTTCCACCCCAGCACAGTTACGTAGATACTATTGCGAAGCCGAGCCTGGCTTCTCCTAATCAGTTGTGTTATTTCCCCGTAGATCGGTTCAGATATAATGTAGAGTGTCATAATTCCACCCTCCCGCAGCTCGGGTTGGGGGGAGAGAAGCCACGTTCTGACTGGCTTGGTTCGTTATTGTTAATGGGCGAACAATAGGCACATCTGTCCTTTCTTCCACTATAAAAGCACCTTAGCTAACAAGTTTTTCTTTCTTTCTTTCTTTCCCTTTGGAAAAAACAGCGGCATGTGGTAGCTGGAGCGTCCTTACAAATGCTCGGTTTTCACAAGCCGGACAGTTGACGTTTTTTCCGCCCTGCCGCCCCCCCCCCCCCAAACTCGCTCTGAGCTCATTCCCTGAAAGGGGGAGGGTTGGGGGGGGGAGGCTCTCATTTAGTCCCAGCAGGTCGCAAGGACTGGAAAAGCTGCCAACTTGAGCTACTCCTCTAGAGCTGCAGTCTAATTGTCTTGCGGGGTTTCGGAGAGACGGGGGGAGAAAAGATGGGAAGGGGAGAGCTGAGGAGGGGAGCTGGGATCGGGGAGTGAAAGTAGATCATATGAAACACGGTCAATGAGGCTCTGTCTTCCCGGCTACCCGGACTTACAATAAAAGTTTCCCTAGCGAGAAGCAAAGAGCAGCGGGCCACAGGGAGCGAGGCGCCTCACAGGGGGTCGCCTTGCGGGCCCCCCCGAGGTGCGATCCCCATCCCCCTGTCGCTCTCCCATTGCATTTCCCCTGGGGGGCGGGGAGGGGAGCGAAGGGGACCCGTGTGAACAGCCCAGCTCTCCGAGCTGCTGCCCCAGGCGGGGGGCGGCTCTCACTCCCCGAGCCACTGGGAGCGCAGCGGCTTTGCGGGTGTGTCCCGCGGCTGCCGGGCTTTTGTTGGTTGGCTGGCTGACTCGGACGCTGCGATTTTTCACCTTGATGTGTCGACTTGAGGAAACCCGGAAGTTAATATTAAAATTCAATTTAAGGAGGCTAGCTCACTAAAAATGCTAAGTCACCAAAGGGGAGGGACCGGCCGCTTTAATTACACAGGGAAGCTCCCACGCGTCTCCCGCACCTAGAGGGAAGGGCGACGGGGAGGCAGGGGGACCCACCGCTCCGCAGCTCGGACCCCGCGCCCCTGAGCAGCCTCCCTCCCTCCCTGCCGAGCCCCGCCGAGCTTGCCGTGTGGGTGGAGGTGATGGGTTACTGGGGGGTGAAGGGCTCGCCTGCAGCGCACTGAACAAGCTGGGGATCTACAGCCCTGTTCACATCCCGGGTGAAAGCGCTGATGGGGCTGTCCCCGGCCAGGGTGCAGCAGATCTGCCTCCAGCCCCGGCAGCCCCGCTCCGTGGGGAGCAACCTGCAGTCCTGGTTACCTGCCTGGGCGTGGGAGACCAGAGCCAAGCTGCAGCTCGCCCTGCTCCTCCGGCTTCTCTTGGTGGCTGGGGCGCTCAGGGTCAGACAGCTGGAGGGAGGGCTGCGATCGATGTGAAGGGCCACACAAAACGGCGGGGGGGGGGGGCGGTGGCAGGGGTGGGCACAACCCTACAGCGGCCGGGGCGGGTGTGCCCGGCCAGGGTGTGTTTTTGACAGGCACAAGCTCCAGAGCAGCTCCTTTGTGCTCTGCGCAGCCGAGGAGTTGTGCTCGTTTTCCTGTCCGCAGCCATCTAATCTGCTGGCGGGGACATGCAGACTTTTGCAGCTCGCTGCCTGTGGGCTGAGTGCAGGCTTCCCCCCCCCCCCCCGAGCCCCACCGCCCCCTTCCCCAGGAGGGGCTGCTCCGGAGCTTGGGAGCGGAGAGAGCCGGGCTTAGATAGGAAGGAGAGACGGTCCAGCTTCCTTAATATGTACGGTGATGTCACGGGCAGGAGTGTGTATGTGTAAGGGGGGGGGGGGTCTGGGGGTGTGCATGGGGCCGCCAGCGCGCATGTCTGCTCTCTACCAGCAGCAGCAGCTGCAGCAGCGGGCGCTGTGGCCAAAGACATTGAAACAGTAAGAGACATGGCTAGAGATGGCGAGGGACGCGACCAGACACCTACTGGGGCTGCTGAGGCTGTTTTAAAAGAACGGGGGCCTTAAAATTGATCAACCGTCACAAAAAAAAAAAAAACAAATCACGCAGAAAGAGAGAGCCCCACCAACCCCCCCCGCCCCACGCGCCTGATCCTTTCCACAGGGGCTGGAATCCTGCATGCCTCCAACGTGAAGACCTCCTAGGACCTTCCAGCCACAGGCCAGATAGATGTGGTGTCCACAAGCCTGCACGAATAACAATGAACGCGCAGCTGACGATGGAGAACATTGGCGATCTGCACGGGGTGAGCCATGAGCCGGTGCCAACCACGGCCGATCTGATGAGCAGCAGCCCCCATCACAGGAGCTCGGTGGCCCATCGCAGCAATCATTTGCCAGCCCACCCTCGCTCCATGGGCATGGCTTCCATCCTGGACGGTGGCGACTACCACCACCACCACCGGCCTCCTGACCACGCTCTGACGGGACCCCTGCATCCCACCATGACTATGGCCTGCGAGACACCCCCTGGGATGAGCATGAGCAGCACCTACACCACATTAACCCCTCTGCAACCGCTACCTCCCATCTCCACCGTCTCGGACAAGTTCCCTCACCATCACCACCATCATCACCACCACCATCACCACCAGCGGATCCCTGGGAATGTGAGCGGCAGCTTCACCCTCATGAGGGACGAGCGGGGTCTGGCTTCTATGAACAATCTCTACACCCCCTACCATAAGGATGTTACCGGCATGGGGCAGAGCCTCTCCCCTTTGTCTGGATCAGGCCTGGGGGGCATCCACAACTCCCAGCAAGGGCTGCCTCATTACGCTCACCCCAGTGCCCCCATGCCTGCCGAGAAAATGCTCACCCCGAACGGATTCGAAGCCCACCACCCTGCCATGCTGGGCAGGCATGGGGACCAACATCTCACCCCTACATCCGCTGGCATGGTGCCTATCAATGGGATCCCGCATCACCCTCATGCCCACCTGAATGCCCAGAGTCACGGGCAAATTCTGGGTTCTGCCAGGGAACAAAACCCTTCTGTCACTGGTTCGCAGGTCAACAGTGGAAGTAATTCAGGGCAAATGGAAGAAATCAATACCAAAGAAGTAGCTCAGAGGATCACCACCGAGCTCAAACGGTACAGCATCCCCCAGGCTATCTTCGCCCAGCGGGTGCTGTGCCGGTCTCAAGGGACCCTCTCAGACCTATTGAGGAACCCCAAGCCCTGGAGCAAACTCAAATCCGGCCGGGAGACCTTTCGGAGGATGTGGAAGTGGCTTCAGGAGCCAGAATTCCAGAGAATGTCTGCTCTCAGGCTAGCAGGTGAGCCTCAGCGATTACTGCTGTGTTTGTGTGGCTAGGCAGACAGAGAGCTTGCCCAGGACAAGCCCATTCCAATACGTGTGTGCAGATAAATAATATCACAGGTCACATCACGCCTTGTATTTTGTTCCTTTCCAGTGCAATATGTCTCTCCCTTTCAAGTCTGACATTCCCACTGGATTTCCTTTCTAGCTCCTTCACATGAAAGGGGAGCGTTTGATTTATTTGCACCGTTGTCCCAGTTCCTAAACAATGATATGCGAGGATGGTGAGGCATAAGGCAGGCTGTGGGTGCTGTCATGCCACTGTGCGTGTCTAGGGCTAGGGGAGAGAAACGGGGGGGGGGGTCATGCTGTGTACTGTGACACCCACAGGATCAAAATCTACCAAGTCAGGTCTTATTATATAGACATGTAACATGTTTATACCTGTGAACTGTACACAACATTGCATGTATATGTACATCAACTAGAAGGTGCACAGAGGAGCAAAAGCTAATTGATATTTTGGAGTGCCCATGAAATACGGATCAGGCCCCGGATAAGATAGATATTTCCTGTTATTGCCTATCTTCATATTTGTATATTTGCAAATGCTCTCTGGTGTGAGGTACAGCCAACTGACCAGCACACAGAACTAAACTCAGCTGTTGTATATAAAATTGCTTTCAAACTTAACATTCTCTGTCTCTGTGTGTGTGCGTGTGTGTACTTTCTCTGCCTCTTACACACACACACACACACTCCTGAAGTGTTGGGAAACCCTATGGTGGAGACTTAGGTGAGGCTTCACAATATTTCAAGCACCTCTCTGTTAAATGATGTTACCCATATGTTTGCATCTACCTTTTCGTCGCGTTTCTTTGGGGTTATTTGCTTGTATAAGAAATAAGAGTATCATAAAAGGCTGCCCAGAGCGAAATATTCATGTTTGTTTGTGTGATCGTGTTGTAACTGGGTTTATTACCTGATAATTGTGGGGTTTGTTAACCCAGACTGTAGATTTAAAAAAAAAGAAAATCCATTTAAATGTTTCGGTGAGGTGTTGTGGAAATTGAAGCTAAGAGCTCATAATAAATCGTTTTATACACTTCGGTGGATCTACTCTGTAACAAAAGTAGCGTTGTGACAAGGGTGAATAGATAATAGCTAAGTTGAAAGGGGAGCAGATGCTAGTTTCCTATTCTGCTTATTTCGGATCGGGCATTTTAGAACTTTGCTTTTTGACGCAAATGATACAATTATGGAATGTAACTTGTGGCTAAAGAGAAGGAATGGAACTGGTTAAAACTGCAAATGATCACAAGTATCATTAGTCCACAGAATTGCATGTGAGAATAAGTATGTGTTATGCACAATTTATGCACTGACTCAGTAATTGGTGGCGAACAGAAATAGCACCTGGGATTAACATGGCCATAATTCGCTAGTTCTGTTTCGTCCTAGGGAATGGCTGGCTGTATTGTCTGCTGTGACCCGAAAGAGCAGAGTAAGAATATTTCAATCCATTTCGTTTGTCTCTCTCTTTATTTTATCCCCCACCCCCAACTTGTACTCAGTCATAGTACAGAGCCCGAGTTTAATATGATGGTGGTGCCTTGAGTGAGGGTTTGCTAATTAACTGATAGGTCTCTATTAATTTGTCCCTGGAGAATGCCAGACAGTCAATCCGAGTTGGAGTCAGGGTCACTGATCCGTTTCACAGACAAAAATCAAGGGAAGGGCCAAATCCTCTCTTTCCAGTGCACAAACGGGTCTGCGCCTCTGCCTAAACAGTAGAATGAATACGGTAATAAATGCTCCCTGGCTATTCGGAGGCCCCAAACTGGCTACACATTTGATTCCTCGCCTCCTTTTCCTATGCTTATGCTCGCTTGGCTTTGGAGTCTGCACTGGTGGGAGAAAGGGGATCTAGCAGTGACCTTTTCTCTCTCAATCTGGAAATGGTCTCTCTACATTAACAGGGGCGGATGAGGCGAGAGGTGTAGCACTGTCTGGTTTTCTCACTCCTCCAGAGTCATGTAGGTTTCACAAGTCTGATCTGCCAGAAAATCCCATTCTCTCTCTCTCTCTCTCCCAATAACAAACCCCACGAAAGGTAAATCCCAGCCCTGCTGCGGCTGTCCAGGGGGGAGGCGGGGGAGGGATGGAGTTGGTGCCTGAGATCTCCCCTTAACGATTGACAGGGCGAACTTCGATTTGGAGTGTATTTTTAGGACAATTTGGACGACCTGAATTTCCACTTATTTACATAGATCGATACTGGAAACAACCACTTGAATTAGAATATGTTGGAGCCCCCTTCTTGGCATGAGTTGAAGGAAATTATGCCAAGCCAGGCTCGGCTGCTGAAAAGAAGATAGATGGGAGCGGGCGGCCGATTTCTGCAATGTATGGTTGACAAGCTACTCCTCGCACTTCCAAAGATTCAGAGAAACAGGCAGCATTGTTCCGTACTGCCCCAAATCAACCCCCCCCCCCCCCCAGCCTCCCACGAATTCCTCCTCCAGCCCTCCCCATCAGGACAGCTCTGGGTATAAGTGGATCTCCATAATCTCTTTAGGAAGACAAAGACTCATTATTCCGCCCTCTCCTTCAAATCCAACCTGAATGGTTGCACATGAGGGAAACAGAGCCCCATCCCTAAGGGTAATTTAAGCAAACATGGACCTAGAGTCACAGCATCTACTCTGACCTGGGGGAGGGAACGGGGCTCTGGCTGCAACTGTTTATTTTTTAATCCTTCCGGCTTTGTAACAAGTTCCTGCGTCTCCCCTGTAAATATTGTAGGACTGTTAGGATCTGGAAGACAGATCCGGATCCTCTCAGGACCAGTCACCGTGCCTTTTCTGTCTAGCGTGCGTCCCTGCAGGGGCTGGCGATTGGAAGCGACTGAGCCTCCTCATTAGCCGGGACTCTATGGTGTGCTTGTTGCCACTGCTCGAGCTCCTGTCCCTTATCCAGACTGCTCTGCTAAACACCCACCCTCTGTTCTCCGGGCTTGCTGCCTGTCTTGTGACCCCGGGCAGGAGCTCCTTAACGGGGGTCTGCTCAGCGCCTAGCCCTGGCATTGACCTCCGGGGCCCCAGGCCGGGCCACTCCTTGCCTCCAGCATAGCAGCCACCGAGTGGGATTGGGGAAGGGGGCGCAAGGCCGATGCTCACAGACGCAGGGCTGCAGCCGGTCCCGGGCACTGGGGGTGTGCACTGGCCGAGGGGAGGGGAGAATCCCTAGGAAGGACTCCGAGCCTGGCCCGGGGCGGGGGGGCAGCAGGGGGAGATAGGGAGGGACAGACCTGGAGCCCTGGACCGTGAGAGGCCCCCTGGTTATCCTGCCACAGGGGGGAGGCAATAATCGTCGCGGACTCAGGACAGAGCAAAGCTGCAGTTTCCTGGAAGAGCTCGGGCAGTGGGGGTCACTCGCTCCCATTGCGGACTGGTGGGGAACCCCAGGGGAGCAGGAAACTGTGCGATTCGGCACCGCCCTGGGCCCTGCCACTGCCCCGAACGGAGGAGGGCCCTGGGCCGGAGATCCCTGCACCTGCCTGGCTGGAGGCGAAGCCCAGCGCCCGGCTCTGGCCTGCAAAGGGGCAGTTCGGGAACACGTGTCTGTTTACAGGGAGCTGATTCCGGATCCATGGGGCTCTGGGCGCTCACACGCACCGGGCCGGGGCCTTCTCCAGGGCGGACGCCAGCCACTCCCATCCCCCGTTGTGGGTTCCCAGCACAGCCCCCGGCTGCCCCCGCACCCCGCCGGTAGCCAGTGGGCGTTTGGGGGGGCGCTGGTTAGTTCTCGGGCTGGCCCCCAGTAATGCAAAATGCCCGCGTTCAGGGCAGGCTGCCATGCTCTGGGATGCAAGCGTTGCTAGAAAGGCAATCTGCTGTAAATGCATAAACTATCGATTTTATTTTGTGCAGGTTTTAAATGTGTGATGATCTTACTAAGTGGTAAAAATCTACCCCGATTGATATTGATGTATGAACATCAATTGGAAATATCATAAATTACTCCAGCCAACGCAAATTAAATTTCACGTCCAAATTATAACTCACTCTCGAGCATTTAGAGAATTATCAGGCAGATTAATATCCCGAGTAGGCTGTCAGACTCTTTATTTATTTTCTGTGCGTTTCTTAAAGCCAACATCAAGAAGGCGACAAGGACGAAAACAAAACCCTGGTTATTTTAGACTTCACAGTCTTGTCCAGCACTTTATCTTGAGTATTTGCCCCTTCCAGCGATCCCTGGGGGTTTCTTACCTCCCAGATTACACCGAAGCTCCGACAAATAAAGGGAAAATTGGTAGTTACATGGAAGCTGTATTGAGGTCTTGACACTTCCTGGGCTGTCTCTCGAAATGTAAGCAGAACTGCTAATTGCAAAGCTGACCTCTTCCAGCCTCCATTTTATTCACCCCATCTTCCTTCTCCTGTCCATCCTCCTTTCCTTTGTTTGGTCCCCCCTCTGCCCTTCAGCACTGCATATTTATCAATTTATCCGTTTTTTCTCCTTCCGTCTTAGAAACTTATTCTTTCAGGGATGATTTCTTTTTTTGCCTTCGTGGTGTTTAAAGGGGAAAGTCAAGCATTAGTCATTATTATGAATATTAATACAAGGCTAGAGGCCATCTACAATCTTTGGGGTCGGGATGGCGATTTATTTTAGCGTGCAAGGTAGAGTTGACAAAAAATAGCTTTAACAAGAGTGAAGGCTTGACACGACAGAGCTAGCCCAGGAAAAAGAAACGTGCCCACCTCGCTGTGAGCTGGATATAGGGTCTGAAATGAGTCTGTCCAAATGATGCTCTCCGAAAGGCGTGTTTTGAAAATGACACCAGAGCCACACACATAGACACTTGCCCAGCCAAGGGAGACTCAATTCAGAGCGCGAAGAAGGTAAAACGTTAAGGTGAGCTCGGATCTGGAGATAACTGAACAATACAAGAGAAAGCTACAAGTGCGCTGGGCTGGACGGGACAGAACTCCCCAGATCTATTGCACA